AAAAAAAAAGTTTTTAAACGTGTTCACCGCCTCGTTATCATTCATTCCACTGTGGTTTTGACTAACCTGAGCCCCACTTTCCAGTTTATGACCACAAAGAAGGATTGCATGGGTGTGCCTGAGGACCAGTAAGTGGCAGAGTCTGCATTTTCTGATGCTGTCCAGACAGCAGCTGTCCTAGAAAGGTAGTCAATCATGTCATGTCCTTGCTCACGGACAATGGAGAATCCTGTGGGTCAGAATTGAGCATCTTTTTTGAGACAGAGTCTCTGTTGCCCAAGCTGGAGTATGATGGCTCGATCTTGGCCCACTGCGGCCTCAACCCCCTACTCCCACCCCGGGTCCAGGGGATTCTCCCGCCTCAGCCTCCGGAGCAGCTGGGACTACAGGCGCTGTATTGCCCAGGCTGGTCTCGAACTCCTCGGCTCAAGCAATCCTCCCACCTTAGCCTCCCCATGTGCTGGGATTATAGGAGTGAGCCACCGCGCCTGGCCGGAATGGAACATCTTTGTATCCGTGTTCTTAGTTTAGCACAAAACTGAATAATATTTGCAGGCAGCAAAATTGGATCAGGAATTTCTCAAACTGCCAAAGATGAAATTAGAATGAGTGATTTTTGGCTGGCGGCTTGAAGTACATATATATCAGTTGGTGTATGATACGTGTGAATATATAGTGGTTTTTCCCTCTTCAACTGTCTTTAAATATGTGTGTGTGCGTGAGTATGTGTACAAACACACATTCAGCTTTAATATCAAAAAGGTTATTTTAGTAGGTCTGTCAGGAGAGTGAATATGCTCAAAAGGGGAAAAACTACATGGATGGGGTGAGAGGAGTGTGCTGTATTTAAGGACATTATGAAAGGCATAGCCCTTCCGCTTCTGCCTTTCTGGAATGCTGTAATAGAATATAGAAATGATTATATCATCTCCTGTACTTCTCAGAGCTGGTGATTGTGTGAGGCTGGCCCTGTGCCAGGTTGGCAGGGTTGCGGCCAACCCGGGGAGGCAGGACTGGTAAGGTGCACTGCCGTTCAGGGCTTAGCATGGCCCCTGCACCCCAGCCCCCTGCCCTCCTTCATCAAGCTCTGCCCGCTTCCATTTCTCTGCTGTGATCTCACACCTCAGCCCCACCAGCTTTCTCATTCCATAACCTCATCTGCCTTGTCTCTTTCCCCTCTGAATCTGGACCCTTGTTAAGCCTTTTTTATTTTTATTTTTATATATTTATTTATTTATTTTTGAGCCAGAGTCATACTCTGTCACCCAGGCTAGAGGGCAGTGGTGCAGTCTCAGCCCACTGCAACCTCTGCCTCTGGGGTTTAAGTAATCCACCTCAGCCTCCTGAGTAAGGCTGGGACTACAGGCATGCACCACCACACCCAGCTAACTTTTGCATTTTTAGAAAAGACAGAGCTTTGCCATGCTGGCCAGGCTGGTCTCGAACTCCTGACCTCAGGTGATCCACTTGCCTCGGCCTCCCAAAGTGCTGGGATTACAGGTGTGAGCCGCCAAGCCCGTCCATATCTGTCCTTTCATTCATTCCCTTGGCATCCATTCCATGTCTTTTCGAGTCCCCACTGTGTGCCAGGCCCCGTGGTGGTTTTCCCTGGGCCCTGCTGGGGTCACGCAGTAACCTTTCTTCCATCAGTCTTTACCCCATCCACCCTCTTTTCCCTCGTTTACCTTTGTGTGCTGTTTTGCCCTCTACATTTCTGAAAAGCGCAATGGGTGAAATGCGGTGGTGTGTTAACTTCCTGTTGCTGCTGTCTCAACCCGCCATATGCCAAGTGGCTTCAAACAACAGAAATTTATTGTCTGACAGTGCTGGAGTTCAGGAGTCCAAAATGGGATTTCCCAGGCTGGAATCAATGTGTCAGACAGAGTTGTGTTCCTATTCGAAGCTCCGGGTTTCCTGGCAGTTTCCAGCTTCTCGGGCTGCCTGCGTTCCTGTAGCATTCCGACCTCTGAGCCTCCTGCCTCTCTCTTACAAGGACCACTGGGATTACACCAGACCCACCTGGATAATCCCAGGTCATCCCCTGACTCATGATCCCTGACATAATCCCATCTGCAAAAGCCCCTTTTGCCATTGCAATCTAACGTATTCACGGGTGCCAGCTATTACGATGTGGTTACCTCTGGAGGACTATTACTGGTGCTGACCACAGATAGCCTTATTTATATGAAAGAGATTGGTGGCCGGGCATGGTGGCTCACGCCTGTAATCCAAAACACTTTGAGAGGCCAAGGCGGCCATTTTGCTTGAGCCTGGGAGTTTGAGACCAGCCTGGGCAACATGGTGAAACCCAGTTTCTACATAAAATATACAAACTAGCTGGGTATGGTGGTGCATGCCTCTAGTCCCAGCTACCTTGGGGGTTGAGGCGAAGGATACCTTGAACCTGGGAGGTGGAGGTTACAGTGAGCCGCGGTCGTGCCACTGCACTCCAGTCCGGATGACAGAGAGAGACCCTGTCTCAGGGAAAAAAAAAAAAGAAAGAAAAAGAAAAAAAAAGAGAAGGAGATTAGCAAAGAATCTGATTTTTTTTTTTTTTTTTCATTGAACTTGGTGTAAAAATACAGAAAATCAGCTAGTGGAAGAAGAAACAGGATTGATTTCTCTGAAGAAATAATAGTAGCATGTTTAGAAATGCATCCTTTAGAGCAGTATACAGTTAAAAGGGAAATTCTAATGCTCCTTTACCAAATGTTTCTACAGGCTCACAATACAAAATAATGTGGGCTGATGATATTCCTCAAAAAACTTGTGGTACAGTGGCCAGGCACGGCAGCTCACACCTATAATCCCAGCACTTTGGGAGGTCAAGACAGGTGGATCACTTGAGTCCAGGAGTTCAAGACCAGCCTGGGCAACATAGCAAAACCCTTGTCTCCACAAAAAAAAAAATAAGAAAATTAGCAAGGCATGATGGTGTGTGCCTGTAGTTTCAGCTACTCGGGAGGCTGAGGCAGGAGGATTGCTTGGATCCAGGAGGTTGAGGCTGCAGTGAGCTCTGATCACACCACTGCACTCCAACCTGGGTGACAGAGCAAGATCCTGTCTCAAAAAAACAAAAACTTGTGGTACAGTCTGTCCTGTAGGTCCCTGTGCGATGATGGAAAAGTTCTGTATCTGCATGGTTTGAAGCAGGAGCCATCAGCTCCAAGTGGCTTCCAAATCCTTGAAATGTGGCGAGGGTAACTGGGAAACTGAATTTTCCAAATTTATTTAATTTTAATTAATCTATATTTAAATATAAACCATATATGGCTATATGTGTTGGTAGAGAATAAGACTTCCTTACCTGGGGTCTTGAGATAGGTCTTACTTAGGAAGGCTCTGATAAAATAATTTGCAGTTTTATTTCTGAGGGCAAGGCCAATAGCTGTCCTCAGATTCTCAGAAGGCCTCAGGAACCAAAATGCGTGCTGGGCACAATGGCTTACAACTGCAATCCCCACACTTTAGGAGGCGGAGGTGGGCAGATCACCTGAGGTCAGGAGTTCAAGACCAGCCTTGCCAACATGGTAAAACCCTGTCTCTACTAAAAATACAAAAATTAGCTGGGTGTGGTGGTAGGGACCTGTAGTCCCAGCTACTCGGGAGGCTGAGGCAGGAGAATCACTTGAACCTAGGAGGCGGAGGTTGCAGTGAGCCAAGATCACACCACTGCACTCCAGCCTGGGCCACAGAGCAAGACTCCATCTAAAAAAAAAAAAAAAAAAAAGTTTCAATGCCTAAACTTTCAGTAAATAACATATTATCTTAGACAAGTCTTTTCAAAGTATTTGAAGCACTTTCTTGTTACTTCACTTTAAATAAAATGCTCTGAAAGAGATCATATACACACACCTATTGGATGTCCTGGTGTTTCAAAATGAGCACTGGTGGCTTGGGATAAAATTTACTGTGACTCTGTCAGACGTGGATTCAAAACAGGCTGTATCTTCCACTAACAGTGCATTGAAATGGCAGCTGCAGCGGAGCGTGGTGGCTCATGCCTGTAATCCCAGCACTTTGGGAGGCCAAGGCAGGCAGACCACCTGAGATCAGGAATTTGATACCAGCCTAGTCAACATGGGGAAACCTTGTATCTACAAAAATACAAAAATTAGCCGGGTGTGGTGGTGGGCGCCTGTAATCCCAGCTGCTTGGGAGGCTGAGGTGAGAGAATCTCTGGAACCTAGGAGGCAGAGGTTGCAGTGAGCTGAGATCACACCACTGCACTCCAGCCTGGGTGACAGAGTGAGACTCCGTCTCAAAAAAAAAAAAAAAAAAACAAAGCAGCTAAAATGCAGCGCAGTGGCCCAGGTCAATTTCAGATAGGAACAGCAGTCAAACCCCCATTGTAGTCTATTTTATTCTAAGCAAATTATCTCATTTAGACTAACAGCAGAAGCTTTAGTCTGTAGCACATCGAAAATGAGGTGTATGTGACCAGGACTTAGTAGAAATAAAATATCGTCGTAGGCCGGGTGGGGTGGCTCACGCCTGTAATCCCAGCACTTTGGGATGCTAAGATGGGCGGATCTCTTAAGCCTAGGAGTTTGACCCTAGCCTGAGCAACATGATGAAACCCATCTCTACAAAAAAAAAAAAAAAATACAAAAATTAGCCAAGCGTGTGTCATACCCCTGCAGTCTCAGCTACTTAGGAGCCTGAGATGGAAGGATGGCTCTAGTCCGGGAGGCAGAGGTTGCAGTGAGTCAGGATTGTGCCACTGTCCTCCAGCCTGGTCGACAGAATGCGACTCCTTCTCAAACAACGACGACAATAAAAATGGACCACCTCGTTGTACTCTTAAATAAGTTTAAATCCTGGAGCGCTAGTTGGTGTTATTTGTGTTTTAGGAGTGCAGGAATGGGCAAGGTCCCAGGCTTGCTTTAGAGAATGATAGATAATCAGCACTGACTGCCACGCTGTTTTTTAGGAGGCCTTAACCGATGTTTCCCTTTTTTCTCCTCCTCGAATGGCTGCTTCCTGACCTCCTGCTCCAGGATTTGCGCAAGCAGGTAGCGCCGCTGCTGAAGAGCTTCCAAGGAGAGGTAAGCTTTTCTGTTCATTTTCTATCCTGAGTCACTCTGCACGGCTAACCGGTCTGTCTGTACTTACGTCGAAGAAACACTCTGGACAGAAGGGACTGCCCAGATAGATGGTGCCTTCCCAGCTGCTCCGACCCAGTGCCGTGCAGATTTTGCGCTCTGTGATGTGGTTTTCCATTGGGTCCTTGGTGAAAGCCCTCCTGGAAAAGGAACCTGTTCTCAGAATATACAGAGGTGTGGTGGATTCCAAGCAGAAGTGCCCTGTGTGGTTGCAACGGGCAGGTTGTTTGCGCCATGGCCTTTAGGAGCCCATGCGTCCCCTCTGGGAAGTCGCCTCATTCCTAGAGCTAAGCTGGTCTGGGGCTACCACTGCCATGAGTGTGTACCATGAGTGCAGCGCTTTGGTGATAGGCTGGCAGCGGCAAAGGGATGCCGCTTGATTGTAGGCTTGAAACAGAGCATCAGGCAGAAGCCACGAGGAGCAGGTCTGGGCTGGTAGAAGGAAGTGGTTTCTAACGGATCCTTCCAGAGAAGGACTGAGCCATCTGGCAGACAGCACGTGGGTGGCAAGTCACCTGGGACATCCACCCTGGCTACTTATTAGTGGGAACAGCAGCTATGGAGGGGACCGGGGCTCCGAGCAGGTGACACGCCTTGCCAGCCCTTTGTGTAAAGATTCAGTGATATTTAGAAAACCAGAAATTATATTATTGTTTCAGATTTATTGAATCTCACCTCTTTAGCTTCTCCCATTGGGAAAACAGAATGGGGAATCATAGCAGGTTGGTGAGAGAATGAAACGAGACATTTCCAAAGCCCCTGAAAGAGCCCGTATGGGTACAGTCTTAGGAATTTCTTTTTTCTTTTTCTTTTTTTTCTTTTTGAGACAGAGTCTTGCCCTGTCACCCAGGCTGGAATGCAGTGGCGTGATCTTGGCTTACCGCGGCCTCCACCTCCCAGGTTCAAGCGAGTCTTCTGTCTCAGCCTCCTGAGTAGGTGGGATTACAGGTGCGCACCGTCACGCCCGACCAAGTTCTGTGTTTTTCGTAGAGACGGGGTTTCACCATATTGGCCAGGCTGTTCTGGAACTCCTGACCTCAGGTAATCCACCTACTTCGGCCTCCCAAAGTGCTGGAATTTCAGGCGGGAGCCACCATGCCCAGCAGGGATTTTATTTTGTTGCAACTATTAAGTCACAGGGAGCACGTGGGGCAAGGGCAGGAGAGATACAGCCGTGAGATGTAGTAGGTTCCGCTTGGGACACAGGTGACATGGGCCTTATGTGGAAGGCTGGGTTCCTGGGTCCAGAGCTCCACAGCAAGCAGTCAGGCTTCCATTTGGGAAATTCTTCAGCTTGAAGCGTGAGCAGGGATTGAGTGATCGAAGGAGGCTGGAGGCAGGGGAGATTGTAGATAGAGAAAGCTGATTTCAGGACATCAAAAGGGACCAGCGTAGAAAGAAGACACAGCAGTTGGTGATGGCTGGAAATTTTAGAGGGTAGAACAGCGCTCGTCTCTTCTTATGATGTTCTTCCTGCCTCATTCAGCCCCCCATGCACGTAGCTTGGTCCAGCCAGCAGGACACCCGCATCCCAGGGCCTTTTTCTCAGAACTGCATCCCCGAGCCCACACTTGATGAGTGAGACTGTTACCTGACACCTAACCACATTTGATCTCACCTGTACCATTACCTGTTCAGCAGCTTTTGAGAGACCCACTGCTCTCCTAGTTCCCCAGCTCAAAGAGTTCAGTGTGCTTTTTCGGTGTTTGCTTGTTTTTCTTTCTTACTGAACAATTTCAAAGCTGTATAAAAATGGAAACATGAGTACAGCGAACACTGTACGCTCTTCACCCAGACCCACGGTCGTTAACATTTCACCCCACGGACCTCCCCACTTCCCTCCCTGCCCGCCACCTTTGCTGAGCGTTTGGAAGTAAGATGCGGACAGCAGGCACTGTGTCCCTCGAACACACATTCGAGGCTCCCAAAGCTAAGGAAACATGAACATTTTCCAACACTACCGCGATAACCACAGATATCACACCTGGGCAAATTCACACTCATTCCAGGCCATCTCATATTTGATCCAAAATCAAATTTTTCCAGTTATCCCCAAGATACCTTTGATAACGGCCCTCCCCACAACTGGGGTCCAATCGGGTTCACACATTACATTTGGAAATCTGTCTATCTATAGATCTATCAGTTCATCACCTGTTTTATATTTTTCCATTAAAAAATTTTTTTTTTGAGACAGAGTCTTGCTCCGTAACTCAGGCTGCAGTGCAACGGTGCTATCAGGGCTCACTGCAGCCTCCACCTTTTGCCTTAGCAATCCCCCCACCTTGAATAGCTGGGACTATAGGTGTGCACCACCACATCAGGCTAATTTCCTTTTACTTTTAGTAGAGACGGTGTTTCAGTATGTTACCCAGGCTTGTCTGGATGTCCCGGGCTTAAGCCATCCTCCCACCTTGGCCTCCCAAAATGCCCTGATTACAGACATGAGCCACTGTACCCAGCCCCTCCACCATCTCCTTTGATGTGGTACATCCTCTCCATCTCCTTCATTTTTATTTTATTTTGTTTTGTTTCCTAGACAGGGTCGCACTCTGTCCCCCAGGCTGGAGTGAAGTGGTGCAATCTCGGCTCACTGCAATCTCCACCTCCCCATTTCAAGCGATTCTCATCCCTCAGCCTCCTAGTAGCTGGGACGACAGGTGCCCACCCCCACGCCCAGCTAATTTTTATATTTTTAGTAGAGACGAGGTTTCACTGTGTTGACCAGGATGGCCTCAACCTTCTGACGTCATATGATCTGCCTGACTCAGCCTCCCAAAGTGCTGGGATTACAGATACGAGCCACTACGCCCGCCCTGATTTTCTTTTTTAAGAATCTTAGCTAATTATCTTATAGATTAGCCCATACTCTCAGTAGGATAACGGGTTAGATTCCTGATATCTTAAATTTGAAATACCCAAGAAACATCTAGGCTAAGCTTCCATTTGCCTATTTTTCTTTTAAAGGCCATTTGAAAACAATAAATAAATAAAATTAACAGGGATTTTGAATACACATAAAAAGGTAATTTTTTAGCACCATTAATTAATATTTATCAAGTCTCTGCTAATTATCATATTTTAAAATATATGATCTATACTTAAGGTATACAATGTGATGCCATGGGATACATAACAGACAGTAAAATGGTTTAGAGGGAAGCCAATTAACATATGCGTCGTCTCCTGTAGTTACTCTTTCTCGTGTATGGCAAGAGCAGCTAAGATGTCATTTAGCAGAAATCCCTCATATTGCAATTACATTTACTATAGTCCTCATGTCACACATTAAATCTCTAGACACTCCCAGCATCATTCCTTCCAAAATGCTACATTTATATTAAATAATTTGTGCTGATTTTTTTTTTTTTTTTTTTGAGATGGGATCTGGCTCTGTCACTCGGTGGAGAGCCTGCCTCCCAGGGTCAAGCAATTCTCCCACCTCAACCTCCCAAGTAGCCAGAACCACAGGCGCATGCCACCACGCCTGGCTAAATTTTTGTATTTTTTGTTAGAGGCAGGGAATTTCACCATGTTGGCCAGGCTGGACTCGAACTCCTGAGCCCCAGTGATCCACATGCCTCGGCCTCCCAAAGGGCTGGGATTACAGGCATGGGCCACTACGCCTGGCCTGGAAGTGGTTTTAAAAATATTTTACTTTCATTATGATGTATTGCTATTAAAAAGGTGATCATGCCTGTAATCCCAGCACTTTGGGAGGACAAGGCAAGAAAATCACTAGAGCCCAGGAAATCGAGACCAGCCTGGTCAATAGAGTGAAACCCTGTCTCAGGCTCACGCCTGTAATCCCAGCACTCTGGGAGGCTGAGGTGAGTGGATCACCTAAGGTCAGGAGTTTGAGACCAGCCTGGCCAACATGGTGAAACCCTGTCTCTACCAAAAATACAAAAATTAGCTGGGCATGGTGACGTGTGCCTGTAATCACAGCTACTCAGGAGGCTTAAGGAAGGAAAATTGCTTGAACCCGGGAGGTGGGGGTTGCAGTAAACCAAGATCATACCACTGCACTCCAGCCTGAGTGACAGAGCGAGACTCCATCTCAAAAAAAAAAAAAAAAAGTAAATAAATTTTGAAATATTATAGTGAAATGATTACTTGTAGTTATTTATAACAAAATCATAAAATGTAACTCACACTGAAATTAGTTATTTATTATCGATTTATTGATCACGATACCTATTTTGGGTGTTTCACAAGCCCAGCAAATTGATGGGTGGTATGAGGGAAGCGTACCCTTAATATTCAGTCAAATTTAAAGCTTATTCTAGTCCAGCCATAATTTAGACAATCCGTTCAGTAAAGTCATACATACATCCTCTAGAAAAATGCCGTCCTCCCACCTGTCTGGCCAATCCTTGCTTCTCTTCCTAAGGAGGGTCGTGGTGCGGAAGGTTGAGGGGTTGAGGGGCTGGCTCAGAGAACTTCTTGGTAGTAGGTGAGCAAGAGTCCTCAGGGAGGAAAATCCTCTTAAAAAAATAACTTGAGTGCTCGTCCAGGCACGGTGGCTCATGCCTGTAATCCCAAAACTTTGGGAGACCAAGTCGGGCAGATCTTGAACTCCTGGCCTCAGATGACATTTGAGGCCTCAGATGACATTGTTGGCTAGGACATTGAGACCATCCTAGCCAACACGGTGAAACCCCGTCTCTGCTAAAAATACAGAAAATCAGCGGGCGTGGTGTCACGCACCTGTAATCCCAGCTACTCAGGAGGCTGAGGCAGGAGAATCGCTTGAACCCCGGAGGCGGAGATTGCAGTGAGCCGAGATCGTGCCACTGCACTCCAGCCTGAGTGACAGAGCAGGACTCTGTCTCAAAAAAAAAAAAAAAAAAAAAAAAAAAAAAAAAAAAAAAAAAAAAAAGAAAGAAAGAAAGAAAGAAGGAAGGAAGGAAAGAACTTGTATGCTCCTATTAGAGAAGAAA